ATATATGTATATATATAAAAATCTTGGTATATAAGGGTAAAGCACTAGTCTTTGGACACTGTAGCCACAGCAGTGCAAGTTACTGTAGTGCATGTAACCCTTAATGAGCAAACCTTTAAAATGCGTAGTGTGGTGGTAAAGCTGAGACTATATGCCCCGAAAGTGAAATGTAGCTTTTGTTTTAAGTTGAGGGGGCTTTTTGATTAATTTTTAGTTATTTTTCCATTAGATGACTGGCCTGAGAGGGAAATGACAAACAATTCCTCTAACCACTTAGAAGAGCCCAATTGTAATGAGGTGACCAACCTGAAGGTGTGCATTGAATTAACAGGGCTCCATCCCAAAAAGCAGCGTCACCTGCAGCATCTTAGGGAACTATGGGAGCAGCAGGTGTCACCAGAGAGATCCCCGTCCGGCAAGTTGGGCCGGCAAAGCAGGAAAGATTTAGCTGAGGCTGTTCAGCCAGAGGCCACTGCAAAGGTCAAAGACTTCACAGAAGAAAGGCACACCAAGAAAAGGTCAGAGGCCAAAAGCAATAGAAGTTGGTCTGAAGAGTCCCTCAAAACAAGTGACAATGAACAAGGTATGCAGAGACTACTAGGGAAACCAGCCGGCTTTAGCATTTACAGTGACGCATGCTGCCACCGATGTTAAGGAATTGTCGAGAGCTTTTTTTATTATTATTCTTATTAAAACGTTATATATATATATTTCTGTAGATGTCCATTTGTATAAGGACTGACACCTCCTCTTTTAAGTACTGCATTGTAGCTGATATTTGGTAGACCAGAACACGTGTTTGTGTATGTGTGTGTAACTGTGTTTGTGCATGTGTGTGTGTGTGTGTGTGTTTTGGCTTTAAATACTCTTTCATGGATAGTGTTAAGATGAAGATGAAGTTTGTGTCTCTAGAGGAGAGCTGGGTGGGGGGACATGCAACGCGGGCATGCTTCTGGGTGAGGGAGGGAGCGAACAGGCTGCTAGTTGGTGTAAGAGTGTTTAACCAGATGTAGAATTTGAGGGGCTGTGACCCTCTGAAACACAGCTAGCAGCTCTTGATCTCGGGAACCCAACGCTTCCAGCACCCTCAGCACTGCTCGGTTTCCCTGCCTTCCCCAGGGCATATTGCTTGAGAGCAATGCTTATCCTCCCAAAGAGGATGCTTTGCTTGTTCCCATGGGTATGTCCTGTAAACCCCTGTGGCCCCACTCCCTGGCCCCTAGGCAGAGATCTTCCCAGCAGCTCTCTCCTAAGGGGTCACTTTCTCAAAGGACATCTTTCTTTGACTTGTTTCCAGCTGCTTCTTTCCCTCTCACTCCGCTTCCTCCTTTTCCGCATCCTCTCCCTCTTTTCTGCTCATTCCCTATCCCAGGGGAGAGCCCATGGAGGCAATCTGCCAGATTTTATCTTTGGACAGACAGGTCACTCTCCTGTCCCTGCTGTCTTCTGCCCCCAGGCACATTGTCTGCTCTGCTGCTTTTCCCCTTCCCTGTGACATACTGCCGCAGCTTGTTCGGAGAACTGGTGGGGAATGGCAACATGCAGCTCATGTAGCTGATACGCCTTGTGTGTCCCCTGCACCTCATTGTGAATCCCCATATCCTCTGTGCACACCAGGGAACCCTTGTCTCCTCTTTCAGCTTTTCAGGTTGCAAATACATTTCTTCCTTTCCTCCTCTTATCCCCTCCAAGTCCTCTGCCTGCTTTTGAGGAAAGGCTGTTTTTGGGAGCTCTGGATTGGACGTTTGGTCTCCTTTCCCCTTCACAGACTTGAGAGCTTCATCAAACTGGTAGACATTCATCCTCCACATGTAGTTTAGCTGAGATCCCCTCAAAAGAGAGAAGCATGAGGGAGTGGATCCTCTTGTCCCATACCATAGAAAGGACCAAATCCAGGTCATCCTGCACTAGTGAGAGTTTTCTTGGGTAGCATCTCCGAAACGGTCACAGGCAAATGCATTGACTTCCCTTCTATCCTAAAGCTTCTCACCCATTTTTCCCCTCAGTAGGGTTATCTGAGGGCAGAAATCCCCAAACTTTGATGCTTGTTAATGGGGAAGGTTCTCCAAAAGGATTTGTGGAGCAGGAGATCAAAACTTACTTTAAAAGGAGCTTTTGACTCTTACTGCCTTGCTTTACGTGCTGCCTTGGCGAGCGTGGTATTGGCTCAAACACCCCTACCCATCACCTTTGTACTTGCAGAAAGAGACACCTTGTAGAGATTAAATGAGGGTTGCTAACAAGAAGCCACATTGTCTAAGGATGCTCTAGCTTTGCCCTGCGATGCCTCCTGTGGCAGCAACAGGCTTCTCTGACACATGACCTCGGGAAAGAAAAAATCTCGGCTTGTGATTTATGCACTTCTGCACCCTTCCCAAGGACATTCAGATTCAGTTTCCCCATGGCTATGAAAAACCTCTTGGGTTTGAAAGCCACTATAAAACGATAAACCTGACTAAATTATGCCTTGCCATTCATGGCGCAGAGGCACTGGAGATTGTTGAGGTCACTTTGCTGGTGCTCCTCCATCCCCTTTCGATCTCCTTTTTCTTAGTTCATTAGGATGAGGACATTTTTCCCCATTGTGCAACAGAGCATCCTGCATGACAGGTACCTGGGGATGGAGAACTTCCAGCTTGTCTTTCTTGCCCAGGACTAGTTCTCAGACTTCTCTTAAACAAGCAGATATCACGAATACAAGAATATACCCTGTCTCTTGCAGCTTTTTGTGCTCTGGGGCTGGGAACAGCTGTTTCCAGTGCCCAAGCATTGCATGTGAATGTGCCAGTCTTTGATGCTGGGAAACTGGTTGTACCCCAAGAAGTGGGCTGTAACAAGGCATCCAAGTCCGCCCCTGTGCTAGTGAAGCGTTAGTCCAACAGCAGGATGATTTGCTGCCTGTGCCTGGAAGAAAGAGGGGGCTGGCTTCTGGGCTTGTTGCTCCTGTTGTGTTCAACACAGGATTTTAGGTGGGACGAGTCATGCATTGCGTTGCGAGCCACAACTGGGCAGCCACCCTTCTGTTCCCTGGTCACTGCCTGCTGGCTGGGTGACCAAGTGGTGGTCTCTGGAAATGTTCCCTCAATGACACTTTTGGCTGTTGCCTCCTTGCAGACTCACTTGCCAGATTAGAATCATGAAAGCTGGGATGTGGCTTGCCCAAAATAATTTCAGAGCAGAGAATGGATTGAGAGCAGCCCTGAGGAGAAAGACTTGGGGGTGTTGGTTGACAAGAGCCATAGAATCACATAATACGGGGTTGGAAGGAACCTCAGGGATCATCTGGTTCAACCTTTCTTGTCAAAGCATGATCTAGATGTCCCAGCACCCTGTCCAGCCCAATCTTAAAAGTGTCCAATGTTGGGGGATCCACCACTTCCCTGGGGAGATTATTCCAATGGCTGATAGTTCTCATTGGGAAAAATTCTCCTCTAATGTCCAACCGGAGTCTCCTAAGGAGTAAGTAGTGCCCATTACCCCTCCTCTTTTCTATGTGGCTCCTTGTAAAAAGTGAGTCTTCATCTTCTTTGTGGCTACCCTTTAAATACTGGAACATGGTGATAAGGTGACCCTGCCATGTGTGCTTTCAGCCCAGAAGGTGAACCATAACCTGGGCTGCATAACAAACAGCATGACTAGTAGGTCGAGGGAGATGATTCTCCCCCTCTGCTCCACTCTGTTGAGACCCCACGTGGGAGTACTGCAATCAGCTTTGGGGCCCCCAACGCAAGAGGGATGTGGACCTGCTTGAGCAAGTCCAGAGGAGGCCACAAAGATGATCAGAGGGCTGGAGCACCTCTCCTATGGAGACAGGCTGAAAGTTGGGCTTGTTCACCCTGGAGAAGAGAAGGCTCAGGGGAGACCTTAGGGCAGCTTCCAGTACCTAAAGGAGGCCTACAAGAAATCTGGAGAAGGACTTTTTACAAGGCCAAGTAGTAATGGGACAAGGCGGGAATGGTTTTAAGCTGTCAGGGGATAGATTCAGATTAGATGTCAGGAAGAAATTCTCTGTGAGGGTGCTGAGGTGCTGGCACAGGTTGCCCAGAGAAGCTGTGGCTATCCCATCCTTGGCAGTGTTCAAGGCCAGGTTAGATGGGGTTTTGAGCAACCTGGTCTAGTGGAAGGTGTCCCTGCCCATGGCAGGGGGGGTGCAACTAGGGAAAAATCTCTAAGGTCCCTTCCAACCCAAAACATTCCGTGATTCTATGATCTCACTTGCAAGGTGACATTGGCCATGCTGGCTCTCCAGGGTGCAGCAGGTCTGTCAGACTTCAGGGCATCGTGCCGCTTGCCTGGACCTGTGGCTGAGGTGAGAGCTATGGTCTTTGCTGGGGTCCTAGCTGACCAATAACCTCCCAGTGCTGCCAGTGGTGTGGCAGGCAGCTCTCCAACAGCCTCCATGGAATCTGCAGCTGCTCACCCAGCACAAGGAGAAAACCTGGGTAGCGCAGAAACAAGCCCCTAGGAGAGGAATCAGGGGATGTAGCGCACTGGGAAAGCCGCTGCCTGCCCCTTGGAGCTGCCTCTGGTTGCAGGCAGCGTGGCGGCTGCTGGCTTGGCAAGCAGGAGGAGGCAGCTGCCAGGGCGGGAGCTGAACAGGCGAGCATTCAGGTGATGCAGCAGCAGCTGCTTTTCCGCATGGACCTCTCTGCATCCCACTGCTGTGGGAATGAGGCAGGTCCTGCTCAGAGTCAGGCTCACCACAACCCACATCAGTCAGAGGTCTGGGTGTTCTGGGGTTTGGATTAGGTTGGGTTTTTAACATGGGTATTTGGGGATATTCCTGCTCACTCTTGTTTTTCTTCTCCCTTCATATGTATAGTGGAATGGGGTGGGATTCCAGGATTAAGCACCTGCCTTTTCTCTGTCCGTTTTCCCAAGCTGATGCTTGGCTTTTTCTGGATAACGCTGGCCTCTTGAGCCTTATTGATCCCAAAGCTCCTGGGCATAGCATGGCAACTCTCCATCTCTTTGCTGCAGCACACGCTTAGCCTGGTTCCTGCTGTCACCACTGTGGAGGGTCAAAGTGTGGAGCTTGCAGGCTGGAGTACACACTTCTTGTGGCGATTAAACTTCTGCTTCTGATGCCTCGGCATCCCTGCATGGGCAAGCCTGCATTTTTTGTGATAGGCTTCTCTTCCTGTGTTTTTTTTCCTCCATCCTTTTGCTGTTTCTGTCCTTCTCCAGACCTGTGAGGTTTTTCTCTTTCTGTTCTACTTTTTCTACATGCAGCAGTTTCTTACTTCCCTTTTCACTCACCAGACCTCACCGCTGCTGCTTTACATCTTGGGAATTCTTTCAGTAAGTGATTAAGTAGATAACGATAAAACTTTGGTATTGGAATTGGGCTTTTCACGTGCTGCTCCAGTGAGGTTATTTTGGAACAGGAGAGTTAAACATTCGTTTCTTCATGCTGTCTGCAGAGTTGGAAAGACAGCCTTGCATCCATAGGCTCATCCTACGACTGGGCACCTTCCTTCAGGATTGCAAAGCCTAAAAAACTTAGTGGGTTTTTGCTGAACAATCTACACATCATGTGTCTTGTAAATTCCCTGACATCTGCTTGGCAAGCCACATCTTTTGCTAGAAAGTAGATTGAAAGATCCAAGGGATTTCTGTTTTCATCTTTTAATCTAGAAAGCCTTCTGCAGGTTGCTTTCACAGATCTATTTAAGGGAAGACAGAAGTGTGAAGCTGCCCACCAAGTGGATTCTAGATTTTGTTTTCTTTCTATCGACTGGCTCTGGATTGAGTCTCTTTCCAAAAAGATCTCTCCTTTCTGAGGAGCTGCCTTATTTGCTCCTGCCACCTCTTCTGTTCTGAAAGTAGCATCACTTCAGAGACTTCTGAGAGCGAAGAAGGCTCTTTCAAGTGCTCAGGGTTTTTTCCACACCTTCCCTCAGTGGTGTGGTGTTGTTTGGCTGAAGTGTCCCTTCCTTTCCAGCAACCTTTAATTTTTCTGCAGAGGAGTTGGTTCTGAGATCACCTCAATTCTCTTCCCAGGGGAAATTCAAACTATAAAAAGTCAACTTTCCTGTCCTTGTTTTGTTGCAAACCTGCTTGCACTCTGGGGAGGGGGGAAAGTAACCATGCTTGCATGTGGCCCAGATTGTGGCATCCAGCTTGTAAGAGCTAACCCCTGGAAGGAACCCAGCCATGCCGCGGGCAGCAGCGCTTTAGCTCCTCTATGTCCCAGGGCTGTCTGGTCTCATAGAAAGACTCACTTCTGTATGGAGTCATTGGGAAGACACAGCCGATCACTTTTCCTGGGAAATCCACACACTTCTTGATAGAGTTTACACAGCGCTTCTGTAGGGGTGTTTCTTTGAGTAGCCTTTCTTCTTTTTGCTTGTTTCTTGAGTAAAAATGCTGCCAAGGAGATGGTCCCCATCTTATTGCCATCTTCAGGCTAAGCTCAACTTTCTTCCCATGCTGTCCCATGCTTCCTGCCTCTCTTGCTTCCCCTCCTTCTCCAACATCCATGTGTCTGCCCTGCCACCACACCTAGCCAAAGGTGGGCAAGCCCAGCCAGGCCCAGGCTGCTGGAGGAGTTGGTTCCCCTTCAGATAAAGCAGTTCCAGGTAAGGAGGAGAGTTTTTCCCGTAGCGAGGCAGCGGCTTTCCGCTCTGCCTGTAGCAGCTGGGCTGTGATGGCATGGCCTTCGCAGTGCCCCGGCACGGGGTGTTTCATTTAGTGATTTTTATCAGAGCGTTACAACTGTTAACGTTAACTGGCAGGATGCTATTTACAATTTGAATGTGGAATGCTTAAAATATTAATGATTTGAAAATGTAATTGGTAGATCTCTTAAGCAGTCGAGGAGCTTGTGTTAAGTGCTAGCGATGCGTTTTCCTTTTAACACACCATGCGATGTGTGATGCCTTTCCTTCCCATTTAGGCTTGCCCGTATTCCCAGTGTCTCCGCACATGAAGAGCCTTTCATCCACCAATGCAAACGGCAAAAGGCAGGCTCAGCCAAGCTGTACTCCAGCCTCGAGGTTGGCTGCCAAACAGCAGAAAATTAAAGAAAGCCGGAAGACAGATGGGCTGTACACAGACGAAGAGGAGGATTTCCAACATGCATCTCTGCTGCAGAAATACAGCGAGTGTGAGAAGCCATCAGGGAAACGTCAGTGTAAAACAAAACACTTGGCACTGCAGGAGAGGAGAAGGAGGTCATCTCTGACAGGGGATGACACCACAGATATCGAAAATGCTGAAGATAAGGTATCTTTATTTAGACTTAATTGTCCACCAGCCTCTCGGAAGGCAGAGCCAACCTGCTTAAAAGTAGCACGCTGTCATACATGCAGGGTAGCGGGGATTGCATTCAAATTCATCTGTGCGTGCTTTGCACGTTTTGTTTTTGGTTTTCTTAACCCGACTTAAAGGCACTATTGGGGAGTGAGGCATCTTGCATTTAAAAGCTGTAGCAGGGTCTTTCTTAAAAAATGAAGTATGAATAGAAAAGTGTAATTCTTTGCTGGCAAAATAAAATCCCATCACTGTATTGTAAAAAAAAAAAAAAGGATTTAAAAACCCCTCAATGATGGTTTTGACAGGTCACGGTAACGAGGAAAGTCAGGAAGCGACCAGAGCCTACTTCAGACTGTGACTCCTCGCCAGCCAAGTCGTACGAGCAGAAGCTGTACGATCGCCTGCAGCAGACTCCCTCATTACTGCCCGTCTCACAGCCCTCGCAGCTGCCGATCGCAAGCCCCCCTCAGGAGACCACCCCGAGCCGGCCCATGCCGCCCGAAGCGCGGAGGCTTATTGTCAATAAGAACGCAGGGGAAACGCTACTGCAGCGGGCGGCACGCCTGGGGTACGAGGTAAGGGACCCTCAGCGCCCGGCCGGGTTGATGGCTTTTATTTCCGTTTCAAAAGTTAAACCCCGATTTCCAGTTGTATAGATGGGAATTTTGCGAAGCAGCAGCTTCGAGGCTGGTTGTTGAAATTTGCAGGGTTCCCTTCCCCTGCTGCATTCCCTTCCCTGGCACGTGGGGTTTGGAGGCTGGTCACTGTGGGAATGAATCCCCACCGCTGCTGGGTCAGCTGGTGGGGACCCAGCAGCATCCTGTGTGAACGAGCAAAGGGTAAAGCTTTATTGCTAACCCTCGCTTCCCTTTAAATATAAACCATCTGCAAACAGAATGAATGTCTTTTTACCCCTTTTTTTTAAGTAGTCTTTATGGTGATCTTTAATGAGCTGTACATTTTTCTGCTTTTGTTATTTGTGAAGAGCGTGTAGTTTAGGAGAAGGGTTTTATTTTTGTTCTTTCCTCCAAGGAGTATCTGGTATGTGACACAGGATGTAGCGCTTGGAGTGTCCTCTTGCATGATCAGATGCATCGCAGGAGCACTCTGCATGCTTTATGCTCGGAGTCTGGAGCTGCTTGGCGTAGCTGGAACAATGTTGTCTAATGAAACGGCCCCCCTGTTGCTACAAAAATCAGAAACCGATGAATCGCCTAGCTCTGCTGTTTTGAAGCACGCTTTTATTGGGGAAATATGGGCATGTAGGTATGAGCGTCGCTGTTGCTCAACTTCAGATCCAGCGAAGAGGTGTTTCATTGCAGAGGGCGATTGCTGCCTTTGGTGTGACTGCGGGGGTCACCCCGGCAGGGAGAGGGCTGCTTGGACCTCAGAGCTGGGCTCGAGCCCCGTGCTGGAAGATGGCATGAGCCTGGGCCCAGGTGGGCCTGCCCAGCCTTGGAGATCTGTTGAAACCTCAAGATGGCCTTTGTGCAGCTGGAGAGCTTTGTGTGGAGAGGCCTCCTCCAGCTCTGGAAGGCAGGGCTTGTTGGAAAGGTTTTGTTTGCCCTAGACAAAGGCTTCTTCTAACCCAGAGCACTTCAGCTCTAGCTAGGAGGGGAGAAGTGGTTGTTCCGTAATTTAAATGATTTCATTTCCTACAGACATAAAATCTTCTATGTATCCAAAGTCAGAATAGTTGTAGCATGTGCTCCAAGCTGTCTTCCTACACAGTGTATGTCGGGATAAGCACAGTTGGGTGCTTTGCTTTCTGTGCCCGGTGCGCTCCGCTGAGTGTCACAAAGTGCAAGCAGGTCCAAAATGTAGTAATGGGCCAGGGTCTTGCTCAAGCAGAGGCCAAGGGCTCCCTGTTTGCTTTGCTGATAGTGGGAGCTCTCTGCAGCATTGGCCATTAGTGGGCTGGTTGCAGTACGCTGAGGATGCCTGGGCTCACCAAGATGGAGACCCTTGGGCCCTGACCTAACCTTATGTACTCGCCATGCCTTCCCATCGTCAGCTGATGGGGGGTTTTGATTTTCTGACTCAGAATGCACCCAAAAGTTCAAGTGAACACCACAATTTTAGTAAGGTTAAATATTCTGATTGTTTGACTGGATCGTCTGGCCAGTGTTGACAACACAGCAGCAGGTCCTGTTGTTGTTGGAGCGTGGGGCAGGGGGAGATCGTGGTCCATGTGCCTGAGCTGCTGCTGGGATCTGACACAGTCTGTGTCTTTCAAAGTCCAGAGGGGTGTGTGGCTGTGCTGCCTGTTTGGAAGTTCATGAGGCCTCTGGTGAGCTGTTGTAGTTTGGTCAGCTGTGGAACCACTGTAGCTGTGGTGGTTTTCTTGCTAGCAACCGGTCTACCGCAGTTAGTAGAAAGCTGAATTTCCTCTGTCTCCAGAAAAATTGGAACGGTCAAGAAGTTACAAATGCTTTTATTTAAAAATAAATAAATAAATCTCAATGGGTTGAGGTAATTTGCTGGTCTGTGACCTGTGGCATCTGCACACATCTGTTTCTGCCATCCCTGTCAGCAGGGCAGCAGCTTTTGGTGGCTGCAGTGTGATGGTCAGGAGCCGATGCTGAAGTGTAGAACACTGGATGCTCATAGGCACATGGGGTTTTCTCATGGCTGCTGCTGTTGCTGGCTTGGTGGCAGGTGAGGCAGATGAGTTTGCATCACCAGGGCCACAGCCTGCGAAGGGATGCTGAGTGCTGATGCAGGACTCGGAGCTGGAAGTGACTGGCACCGCAGGGCACTGCTGAGCCCTGTTAGCGGCAGGGGAAGGGCATAGCAGCACTAACAGCTCTGCCCTGAGACCGGGTGAGCTCGTGCCTGCCCTCAGCAGCCTGCCTGCCTGCCTTTGCAGCAGGGATGCCTTGCGGCTGTGCAAAGATCCCACCCCAAACCCAGAGGCAGCACTGGCACCTTTGACATGCAGAGGTGCTGGTGAGCTGCATGTATTACTCTGGAACCCACAGGGAGTCCAAATGCTGCTAGCTCAGGTGCCTCTGCCCCACTCTTGAGTCTCACAGTACAGATGTGCCGTGGCTAGTTGCACAAAGGAGGACACAAGTGGTTACGATTTTGCTTGTAAAAGCTGACATGAGAGCGAAATGTTGAAGGACAAATGTGGCTTGTGTCTGGTCAGATAAATTGCAGAGCTGTGGCCAACAAGGCTACTTAAAGGTGGTGCGGCAAATGATCTTCAGCTCTGGAAGTCCATATGGTCTGAGCAGAACCCTGAGCAGAACCAGCCGAAGCTGGTGGGAAGCTTTGCATTTTCTTCGCTACGCTTCTGTGCTGGACCTTGCTTCATCAGAGAGTTAGCAACCCATCCCAGAGTATGGGCACTTTCAAATCCATTCTGTTTTCCCCATTTGAAAGAAATTAGTTCAGATAATAGTAGTCTTAAAACTGTAATTTATTTTTTATGAAGGGGGAATTACAGGGAGCGTAGAGTCTTTTTGGGAAAAAAATTACAAAAGGCTTGTGTAATGAATTTGACAGGAGAGGAAACACTGGCTGTATTTGTGCGGCGTGTTGCTTTTTGGTGTGTGTCTGGACTTGGAAAGTTCTCTGGTGAATCTGGGATTAAATCCTGCCTGGGAAGGCAGTGAAATTAGAGGAATGTGTAGTGTGTGACAGGTAGGGGAAAGATGGTGATTGTTTCCAGAGGGTTTAAACACCTACAAAGACAGGGGGAGAGGGTTTGCCCTGGAGATGCCTCACATGAGGGTCTTGGCCTGGTTCCCTGGTGGCACTGTTGCAGGAGCTCATGCTCTTGCACAGCTCCCTGAGGGCTCCTGCACCCTGCCTGGGTACGAGCATCATTTCTGGGATTTGGGGCTTGCAGTGCCTCACACAAGAGCCATGTTTTGAGGTTGGGTGGGAGGGGAAAGTGCCTCTTGGTGGCAGCATATGTGCCCAGGGCATGGGGGATGAGCAGGGGGATGCTGACCCCCTTCCCTTGGAAAAGGGGCAGGAGCTGCTGAGGGCATGTGGGGGAAGAGACTGAAGCGGAGGGCACCTCTTTGTATATGAGGATGGACTGTGCATATTTGCGTGCACCTTTTAATGTTGTTGTTTGCAATTTCGCTAACAAAGTGCAGGCAGCGGAAGCAGTGGTGGCACATGTCTTGGCTCGAGATGCGTGAGCTTGACTGTCTGGATTAACTGCAACTGATTTTCAGATTGCTGGTTTAAATAGAGCACCTGAACAGACATTAAATTGCCTTGTGCCACTTTCACAGCCTTTCTGTAACGAAACCAAAAGTGTGTTTGTGGCACCACGTGTTCCTGTATTCGGCAGGGATGGCTAATTTTTTTTCGTAAATTGAATAAATCATGCTAAAAAAAAAAAGTTAATGAGGCATTTAATTAATTAACAATGTAGAGTTTTATGGTCTTTATGGTTACATTTTGTGGTTAATGACATTCTTCTTACAGCCTCTTAACACAGCACTGCCCGACAAAATTAGCCTTTTTCGTCCAGTAGTAGGTATTCCACCCTAGGACGAGCCTTTCCTTTCTACAAAAATAGATGAAAGGTCTTTTATTTTGAGTTGCAGCATCTATTTTAAATGGTAAATGCATGTTAAGAGCGGAGCCGAATATGGCAGTTGCTTCTGCTACCTATATCCATCTGCTAATTTGCCTGGTGGGGTGGTCTGGTGTTGAAGGAAAATTCATACCTCCGGGGTATAATTTTGCACAGCCTTTTCTTATGGGCTTGAGCGAGTGCAGAGTAAACAGCATCCGTTCTGGACCAGTTTTTGGCCTTTGGGCTGATTAGCCAGGAACATTAAGAGCCGGTGGGTGCATCAGGTGTAAGTAGTGGACTGCTCGGTCCCGGTGGCCGGTGAGGGGGATACTCTGGTGCCTGGGACGGGCAGCTCATTAGCTTTAGCCTGGTAAGTGAGGGCCTGCTAAAAGAGCAGTTTCGTGCTGTATCCTGGATACCGGCTCTCGAGTCAGGTATACCCAGAGCACAGATTATTGCGGGCTTTCCAGTAGATTTTGAAACGGGAAGAATAATAAATGCATTGCAGACGATGATTGTTTTATTCTCTCTTTTTGGCAAAGCAAACACTCACCCTCTCCATGCCATGTCTGGCTTTGCGAGGATGTCGCTCAGCCTTCGAGAGGAGCAAATGCAAAATTAATGGCTTGCCACTAATCTGGGAACACGGGGGCTATTTCATACATACAGTATCACTTAGAAATGCGGTGGTCTTTTCTTTTGCGTCTGACACAAATTGAGGAAGACTCTCACCGTCCTAAATTTTTGGTTGAGTGATGGAGCAGTCATTGTTTCAAGGCCGCACGGCAGCACAGAGCTGACTCTGGCTTAGGCTCTCAACCATGGTACATTTGACTGCAAGATGAATTGTGTTAAATTCACATGGCTTCCCACGGCGCTGGGCTCGTTATTGGAACCTGGCGCCTGGCTTTAGTTCTGCATGCAGAAAACCACGGTGGGTGAAAATGGGATTTCCCTGATCTTGATAGAGCTGGGTTTTTTTTTTGTTTGCCGATACCAAACTGTCCTTTGTGTGTCTTAAATGTGTTTTGTTTCGGGTCATGCACTTTTTCTTTTTAAAATCAAAATGACGTCGGCTGTGCTGCTGTTGTGCTTGCAGAATTTTCTACTAAAAAATGCAGATGTAAGAGTAAAAACCTTGCTGGCTTTATGTGTGGAAGTTTTGAGAAGCAAAACACTGTGAGTTTTGTCTGCAAAATTTGTTCCCCCGCTGCAACGATTCCTGACATTGGGGGCTATGGGAAGGTCCCTGTGGGACACAGAGCCCTCGGTGCTGCTTTGACCAAGTGGTCTCTGCTGTGCCTCCTGAATAAACACAACGGCTCCACCTCTTGTTTTCCTTTTGATTGACCCTTCTCAAAGAGGGTAATTTAGGCATCATAGGGATTTGGTGTTCTGTCCTTTCTACCCCCTGTTCCTTCAAGAAGAGAAATCTGTGCATCTCAACATCAAGAAATAACTCGATGCATCTGTTTTCCCTCCTATTTCCAGGAAGTGGTTCTGTATTGTTTGGAAAACAAGGTGTGTGATGTGAATCATCGTGACAACGCGGGTTACTGTGCCCTGCATGAGGCCTGTGCCAAAGGCTGGCTGAGCATCGTGCGGCATCTCCTTGAGTACGGGGCTGACGTCAACTGCAGCGCTCAGGATGGAACCAGGTTAGCAGCACCACCGACCACGATGCTGGGAGGAAGCTCCCCTTCCCTCTCTATTTATGCCTCTCCTTTAAATTCCCCTTGTCCCACCTCCCCATCCTGCATGAAACCCCCAAAGCAGGTAATCCTGCCACAGTACCCCCCTGCACAGTGTCCTCTCTGCTGCTGGTCTTGGGGCAGGATGCGCTCTTTGGTTAGTAGAGAGGTGGGGGTACGCGTTTGTTGTGACTCGGCTTCAGTGTAATGTTTTCTTCGGGGAATTTTAATAAGTAAGTTGTGCCTTTTTGTGAAATTGCCAGCTGTAGAGCAGGAAGGAGTGATACTTGAGCTGCAGCCCTGCTCTTACGTATGCGCTCCAGGTCCTTTGAGTTGTGCCAAAAGAGCGGGCTTTGCCTTGTTAGTGAGGTTACTTTGAAGAGCACTTGAGGCTTTTGTGGCAATTGGGTGTGCGAGTCCTATATGTGCTATATAAAAAAGTTGTTTTGCTGAACTGTTAAACTGTCTATCTGCTCATTAGATATTTTTGATTTTTTTTTCCTTTTTTATCCTGAATTAGCCCTTTTTCATTTCCTTCACAGAATATCAGGAGTGCTTAGTTTTCACTAAACACTGACTATCCCTATGCTTATGTGCTCACAGCATAGGGAGCTTTTCCTTTTTGCTCTGCGAAATGCTGCTCCTGCACCGTTTTTGAACATCTAGTGCATCTCCTAAAGCACCTCTTTAACTACCTCTGCGGGGCTGACCTTGGGGTTATTTGTCTTCAGCATATGCAGAATATTATCCATTCTAGGCATTTTGGGGACAGATCCCTTTGTATTCTAAGAAGCTCCTGCTCCTGCAGCTTGTTATCTTAAATGCGCTATCACTGTCCAAATAGCCAGGGAGGGAAAATCCGCGTAACTAAGAGTCTGCCTCTTTTGTTTTTAAGCTCTTTATTTATTAACTCGGGAAGGGAGGAGCCAGGAAAACAAAAGTCCCAAGTGGGCCTGTTAGGATGGTCCATTAGAGGTTCATGATGGTCAGTCGTTACCGGCCCATCACAGCCCAAAAGAGACATTTCTGGATAAACATGCGAACTCTGGCTGGCTTGTCTGATTCCTTCTCCATTTCCCACTTCTTTGTAAGAAGTCTCAGCTCTCTAGGCTGAAAAACAGCCCCGCATTTTCTGCTGTATCCAGTTTTAATATGTGACCTATGCAGCAGCAGTGAGTTGCCATAAAAAGAATCCCAATTTATTTTTGCCTCACTTGCTGGAATAACCTGTATAGAAAATTAACCCGAGGAAGTTTTGGACCAGTTTTAATTACCCACCAGTTCAGAGTCCACCTTTGATTTCAATTCACAGATGGAGCTGATTTTCGAGAAAGAAACTTGGCTTGTATACCCTGAAAAGTTGTTTTGGGGAAAATGCATTTTGGAAATTAACGTAATAATGATCTGATCATAGACGATAATGTCATAACTCGTCTTGCAGTTCCCTGTCTTTTCTGATGGCAGACTTAGTTTTTGTTTGAAAAGCTGCCCAGCAGGCAGTGTGAATCCAAAACACATCTAATACACAGATGAAGGATGGTCTAGCTGCCCCGAGTTAGGCAGGACAGAGAGCAGAAGCTTCTGTAAGGAACTTTTTTTCCTCTCCTTTTAGGTAGGGCCAGACTTCTCTTTCTCCATAGAGTAAATCGTGACACTCATAAGACAAATCCAGTTTCTGTCATGAAGCCTTAGTAAGTTTTTCTCCTTTAACTTTTAGGTGGAAAAAAGTGTCAGTCTTCCTCAACTGTGTTGCTTTTAAAATTCAAATTCCTCAACATGTTCACCCTTTGGAAAGATAGTAAGATCTTAAAACCAAAAAACCCCAAGCAACCCCACCATCAAAGAATTCTCCCCCTTCCCTGCTTTTTTAACTACACAGAACATGCCTTATTGCTGCCTCTCCCACTCTCACAAGCCCACTAGCCAAAGATATTTTGGGTCATCCTGGAAGCTCTCATGTCTCCGGACAGTGGCAGTGGATGTGTTTCGTTCTGTTCAGTTAAGGTCAGTGTGCATAGAGGAGTGCTGGAACTGCATGAGCTGTGATGTAACCGCACACGCTGGGTTTATTGGCATGGCAGCCTGGGGGGTGTCACTTGGATCCAGGCTGCCTGAAGCTTCAGTCTGTGTTACTCACTGCCTGCCGCCTCTGTGGTTAACTTTTTGGAGGATACTCTCTGCAAAGTTGTGACAAGTGAGGATGTGGCTTCATTCTGAGCAAAATGTCCATCTGGTCGTGAAGGATGTAGTGAAGTTTTGCAAAGTCCACGCGTCTCCTTTCAGTCCTGTCTGAAGTGCTGGAGGTGCTCTGATCGATGTGGTGCTTTTGCATGCATGAAAGTAAAGCAAAGACCTGAGCCTCTTGCTTCGGTGTTGTCTTTTGTGCGCCTATGCAGCCAGAATGTCTGAGTTCAGTAGAAAAGGTAGGCTTTCAGCCTCTGGTTCCTAATACTATCAGAAATCTCAGTGAAGCCAAAAACAAAGGAAGCGCCAGACTGTAGTGGCAGGGCAAGGAGGTGACGGGGTCTGGGGGTGTAAGTATGGTGCAGTCCTTCCCTTCGCTCTCAGCCTTGGCTCTGCCTGCACACCTACTGCTGCCTGCTGTGGAGGGTGTCCCTCTGTCTGCCCGATTCACAGCACATCTGGCTGGGCTAAATACTGTGGTCTTCTGTGCTTTCCCCCTTAAACTCCGTGCTGATAGTGGCTTTCCAAATGCGGCGCCTGCAGACCCTGAATACACATGCACTTTGCTGCTGAATTAGTGGCTAATCAAAGATTATTGTAGAACCGGGCAAGATCTTTAAGAGCTGCCTCAGAGGTGCCACAGTCACTAAGGACTCTTAATCGTCTTACCTATAAATAATAATAGACCGTGCTTAAGAGGTGAGCGCTTTCCTTCCCTGACAGGACCCCAGGAAGTGCAAGTAGCTCGACACCGGCCAGTGCCTGACATTAGCAAGGATGGTTGCCGGTGTATTTGCCCTTATCTCCTTGTTGTTCTTCTCTTACCTCCGCAGCTGAACCAGCATCACTTTAAAAACAAAGCTGTGTGCCAAAACTACAGGCACCTCTTCCCTGTTAGCGAGGCCTCTGTTGCTTCAGAGTTCCCTCGCTAGACTGGCTCTCGGCAGCCAGTTCTGCTTTATCCTTCTCGCTGGCGGCTGATGAGCTCAGCCTTTTTTATTTTTTCCCTGGGAGAACCATGCCAAGATGGCTCTCTTCCTGTGTCCTTTCAGCTGGTCTTGGCAGAGCCATACCCTCCAGCAGCTAATTGCGTTAAAGAAGAGGCTTCCTGCGTAGCTGCCCTCCTGCAACTTGTGCCTTTGCCTCTTTTCGTGGGGCAGAGTTGCATAACAGGATAGATAGAAGTAAAAATAAGATGCCAAGATACGGTATTGGTTGGCGAGTTAGAAGACTCTTATTGCAGCGCGGAAAATTCTGGTGGTGCCTGAAAGGCTGAGAGCAAACCCTGACTGGTCTAAATAGTTTATAATTTTGGTGGTGGAAGGATAAATCCCCAGTGAAATGTTTTCCTGACACTAGTAGTGGTAAAAATAGTAGAAAGAATTCGACAGTACACAAGAGAGGGTTGAGATGAGTGTCTCCTGTAGGATATTGTAGCTCTCAAATGTCCTCAGATCCTTCTGGGGCCTTTTGAAGGGTTTGTTTTAGAAATGAGATGTACCACCATTAACTGTACCATTAGAGAGTGTTTATTTCCATGATGCTCAGGGTGGAAAAGATGATATGGGCAAAGCAGCCCAGGAGAGGACTCCCAGGGATCTTTTTTTACACATCTGAAAATGTTGCTGTCTCCAGTAGTCACTTTTGCATCCTACAAAGAGGATGGTTAAACTCTGCCTAGACTGAAAAATACTCCCTCCTCTGCTGGTCCTGGTGGGAGAAGCAAACAAGTAGCTGTGCCTTTGCATGGTCCTGCTCTTGAGCTTGCCAAGAAGCTGTGCTAGCCAGTAAAAGAGTCTGTCAACGCTCTGTTACTGCCTTTTTTTCCCTTGCCTTATCTATGGGGAATCTCCCTTTCACCCCCTCTCCCTGCCAGTGTTTTCTTTCCTTCCTTCATTTCCTTCTATTTATTGTTCTTCCTCCTTCCGCACAGCTTTACTGAGCCTTTCCTTCCCCTTGCATCTGTGAAGTTCCCTCTCGTGCTTGGGGCAGCGTCCCTGTGCTCCGGCAGGCAACAAAGATGGGTCTGCCTGCCCTGCTGCCTGCTTTGCTGCCAGTTCTGCTGTCTGTTCCTGTCTGCACCACCGTGCTGGGTTGGGTGACCTATGGGAAGAGAGAGGGGGTCCCATCCTGGAGTTATAAGCCCATGTGCTGTAATTTTTCCTTCCTGGGGAATGCCCAGGTGCCCTTTAATAAACTCATTCGGGTGTCATTAAATCGATTGAAACACTGGGCGGTGATTTAGATGCTGTTTTTAATAAGTTACGGGATCATCTTGAATTCATTACTGCTTCAAAAGCCACTTAGGTAAGTCAGTTTAAGAAAAAGCCAAACAAGAAAACCCACAAACCAATAAATCCACAATGCTCTCCACCCCCCACCCTCCCCCAAACCAGAAAATCCTAGTTCTAAAATAAAATGGAAACCAGTTCAGAATTAAAGACTCCACTAAAGTGAGGGAGTGGGGGAGAAAAAACGTCCCCAGCATTTGGTGGCAGCCATAACTCTCATCTGTTCCCAGTGCCTGTTGCCAGAGTGTCAGCCAGGGATGCTTCAAGCCCAGTGGGGGACAGGAGGGTTTGCAGCAAGGCTGACCTTTCCCTCTGTAGATGCTCGGCGTGTCGTGACCTGACAGCTCAGGCCTCAGATGCTTGCTGACAGCCAGAAACACCTGATACTTCTTGAGCCTCCGTGTCAGCACCTCTATTATTTGTTACCTCTTGTGTTATATCGCCTGGGATGTTTAGCACTGGCCAGACCCTGGATGTGCTGGGTGCTGTGTAGGCACATGGTGCTGCAGTTGTCCCTGAGTGGAAGCACTGAGTCAGTAGGAGGAGGTGGGAGAGTGAGGCTTGTGGGGTACCCCAGGGATTCTGGCTTCTCTAGCACCGTCTGTCTCAAGAGCATCACATAGTATGAGTGTAATGTTAGAGACTACCCTGAGAAATGGAGAAGGGGTATCCTGACACTTTGCAGGTGATCCTCATGGACCTCTTTAGTGTTAGAATTTTAAAGTGACTTTCCAAAGAGCATCATGTTGGGCTTTGAAGGCATGCATGTGCTGCAGTCTCTGGTGCCAGTGGTCTGAGGGTGGCACAAGCTGGATTGAGGACTAAGCTCAGCAGCTTAAGGATGACCCTGTTGTTAGCTGTGTTGGTGCCCTGGGGTGTGCAGGAGGCAGGCAGCTTGGGATAAGCCACCTCTCCATAGGGAATGAGCCGCAAACTCTCCAAGTGCTCTTCCTCATGTCAGTATATGGTGTACATATGTCAAAACCAAAACTGCATACAGCTTTCAAGCAAGACAGGGGCAAGCAAGAGTGCTTCATGTGTGACAGATGTTAATCACTCTCAGTCACAGCCTACTAGAAAGTACCTGGAGTAAACACACTTGGAACATGCTCCCTTTTGAGGTGGATCAGAGTCTGCCTCCTACCAGCAGCACTGTGTAACAGAGGGGACAACAGTGGTGTGCCTTCCTCTTCTTACTGGTTTGATCTGCCCTTCCTCTGCCCTGAGGTCACTGGCATGTCAGTCTGTGGTGACAATAGAGGGGGCACACCACCTGTGGTAGAAGAAGTGGTGGAACACGGCCTCTTTGCAGGAGGGAGTTTGGGTCCTGGTAGATAGCCAAGTGTGGTTTTGTAGATGGAGCCGAGGGATTTGCTTCTCTGTGCTTCCCGATGACTTCTCCTTGTAACATCATTCTGAAAGCTTTCCAGGAAGGCAGTATGTGATCCTAGTTAAAGTCCTTTCTTCCCTTGCCTTTTGATACATATGTCTGAGAGCTTGAAAGCCTTGTTGTGGGGCAGTGGTGTTGACAGCATCAAGGAGGAGGAGTGTAAGGTTGAGCTGAACTGCCATGATTACTGGCCATGCATTTGACTCCCTTTTCAGTTCCCTGCTCATTGCTGTCTTAAGGAAAAGATGGGATTTTAACACATCTTCATTAGTCTGAAGGGTAATATGTCCTGTTTCCAGACAACTCCCCGTTCTGTATAATCAATTTTAAAGGCAAAAGTTAATGCAGTTTATAATTAGCGATAAGGAATTCTAAACCTGGAATTGCAAGCATGTGTATTAATGAATAATCCTTCTGTAGGCTCACAAAATCTATGTCTGAGCCTTATAGATTGCTTATGCCATGTAAAATGCATTAATGTCTGGGTGGACTAAACTTAAAATAACATGTTTTTCTATTCTCTGAGTAGAAGGGCTGAATTGTGCTGCAAATCTATTCACAAGTACTGTTTAAAGAGAATATAGCATGGAAGTTTAATTCCTAGCAAATTTTCATAACTTATTTCTGTGTACATAATTTAGGAGCTTTGGGTAACTGATTTCTGTGCTTGCCCAGAGGCAGGCTGAATTAGCTGTTACTCCACAACACGCTGTTAAATTGTCAGAGGTTTGGAACAGTTGAGTGACTTGCACCAAAATGATGTTTGTGAGGCTTCACGCAAACTCCTGTTTTCTGTTACAATGGTGTAATTATTTTGCTGGCCCTCAAAATATGTAGAGCAATGAATAGACTTAAAAGAAATATCTGCCCTGAGCAGTCTGACTGTGAAAAGACAAGAGGGGAGGGGATGATGTGCAAGTGAAACCAACAATAAGATAATTGGCAGCTGTATTAATAGTGTTATTTGCAATAAATAACTTTGATCTGAAGACAGAAGTTTCTTGTCAAGCACGTTTGAGTAATACTGTTGAGTCAAAACTTAACGCTATGATCTTTCTCATTTCCCCCTAGACCAATCCATGACGCGGTCGAAAACGATCACTTGGAGATTGTCCGCTTGTTACTGTCTTATGGTGCTGATCCAACACTTGCGACCTATTCTGGGAGGACCATCGTGAAAATGACCCACAGTAAGCTCATGGAGACCTTCCTCACAGGTTTGTGGCCATGATGCGTGGGGCTTTGCTGGTCGTGGCAAGTGGGGGATGTTCCCTGGCCCCTCAAAGTCCCTGCTGCCTGGTGGGGATGGCTCCACTCCAAGGAGCATTAGTTAGGGTAGACTGCAGTAGCTCCGTCTCTGCCTGCATAAACCCAGTGGCTGCAGGTGGGAGGCATAGCCATGCATGGGGGCTCCTTCTAATTGAAACTCTTAGTAAGTCGTAAGGATTATGCCACTATCAGATTTGATAGGTAGGCAGGCGGTCAGCGGGCTGCTTCAGTGCCTTCAGTTTTCTGCTTGAAATGAAAATAAGAAACTTGCCAAATCAAATAGGGGTTTGTTAAACATAATTGTGTATTCCCATGGTCTTACTTTTTATCCTTCTAGCACTTGTCTTTTTGCAAGTTCTGCCTCATTTTACATCCAGAATGCTGTGAAACTGTATTAAAGGCTCTTGTCTTTAAACATGTCCATGTTCTAAGATGGTTTTAGGTTTTTTTTTCCTGTTAGTCTTGGATAAAGACACTTGCATTCCCTAATAACTCACTTCTGAAAGTATTTGCAGTGTTCACAGTCAATGAGTTTAAGTACTTACTCACTTACCTGTTTAAATGGTGCCGTGTAGAAAGTGCACAGGTGTATCAGGACTCCAATAAAGTCCAGGATCTTGGACTTCTTAGCATCTTGAGTCCCAGTATCATTTCATCGACTCAACTAGCAAATCTCCAAAATTATGTCTGCCAAAAAGAATGACATCTTCTGGACATAAATGTGTGGAAAAACGTTTCCCACCTGTTTCTTTGGGGCCACTGTTTCAGCCCCAAGATGGTGTCCAGAATAACTGTGCAGGCTAAAAAGTGTGATACATCCTATGTGTCACAAAAATAAAATGCCACTCTTGGTTTCTGAAGCTTGAGGTTGGGTCTGTCCCTGTTATACTGTGAGTGATCATTTGATGTGGTGGGCTGTTATGTGATGTTCTGGGAGAAAGGATACAGGAGAAAAGCAAATTCCAGGACTATTTGTGAGAACAGTGTGTGTGCTGTTGTTTGTAGCATGTGTGTCAGGATATATGGTGTGGGTTTCTTTGATGGAGGGTATGGAGGATGCATAGTGAGACTGTATGACACATGGTCTGCTAAACTTGCCAGCTTTTTGTTCTCATCACTATGTTTTTGTTGTTGTTTTTTCCTCTCCAGAGTATTTAACTGACCTGCAAGGTCGAAGCGTTGATGACCCTGGTTTGTACTGGGATTTCTATGGCAGCTCTGTGTGCGGTGAGCAAATGTTACCCTTTATTTCTTTGTATGTGGAGACTTTCAAAACATGTGGCATGTGGGGGTGGGGGCTGTTTTGTTTTTATGGTGGAGGAAGCTAGGAAGGAAGCAAACTGATTTTATTTACAGATCACGTTATTGGAAGAAAAAGCAAAGACGTGCAACAGTCTCTTCAATGCTGACTTGGCACCTTTATTCAATTTTGTTTAGATCCAAAAGATGAATCTGGCTTTGACATCTTGGCAAATCCTCCCGGCCCAGGTGATGAAGATGAAGATGGTTTTAGCGATGTGTTTGAATTTGAATTTTCAGATGAGCCTCCCTTGCCGTGTTACAACATTCAAGTGTGTCTCTCTCAGGGGTAAGAACAAATACAGGTTTTGGGGTAAAAATAGACGAGACAATCTGCTCGGGATGGCGGCAGTTTGTGTCCGTGGGGAACAGGTTTTGCATTTATGTAACGTAAATGAGAGAGCAATACTCTAACTGCCATGCTTTTTTAGAAACAGGCTAATAGGAGGGGAAGGGGGGAAAGGCTAACTTGTCAGAGCTGTGTTTTGAGTGTCAAACTCCTGAATGGGATGAGTGACGTTTGAACACAAATTCCTTCCCTCATCCCAGGCAGGCATCTTGGTGTAGCATCCCAGAATACAAGTGCTTCTAGCACTTAAATTTGGATATTGTGTTCATAAGGTGTTCTTAATTTTATTTAATGGGCTTTTCTGTTTAGCTGAGTGGACACACTTTGTGGATAATGAAAGAACACCATTACTGCTATTCTAGACTTCGCATCAAAACTGGTTTAAAGATCTGAATTAGATCAAACAAATACACATCTTACAGAAGATGCTGTGATATTTAATAATAAGCAAAGACCTGGAAGTTTTATTATCTATTGTATTCAAGATCTAAATTAGCTTTGTAAACAGCTACCGTTTGTCATTTGCACCAATTTTGATGACAGCTGTGGGAAAAATAGTTTCAGATATTAATCATGGAGGAGTGTGGGTTTTAGCATGTTTTTATTATTTGGGTGATGGATATAACTTCAATTCTCTGAAATGGACAAGTACAATGATTGAATTAAAAGAAATATATTCTTAATCTGAGAAAACCAGCCCTCTGTTGACTTGTAACTAGTATTGGCATCTCTGCAAGTCAGAGGTGCTGAAATTTCTGGTTACAAGTATAAGCCATCTCACTTGCTAAATGAGTGTCAGGCTCAGCCGGGTGAACCTTTAACCATATGAGCAGCCTTTAGGATGGCTGCTGACCCACGTGCATACTCACAAGCCCTGGTTTTATAGGCTTCAGTGCCCTTCATGCCTGGTCCTCCTCCTGCCCCACAGCTGTGGGCAGCGGTACTATGAGTAAGTACACGCCTGCACCCCTCTGGACAATGGTCTTGATTTCAGGGAGGTTTCTTGTGCAGGTGTGGTTGGGGTGGGCTTGTCACAGAGCGGTATGGTGAAGAGTCAACAAGCCTGTGACTTAATGTCAGTTACTGGAGCCTCTTTCTCCTTCACCTCCACAGACCACGAAACTGGCTTTTGCTCTCGGACGTGGTGAAGAGGCTAAAAATGTCATCTCGCATCTTCCGCTGCAACTTCCCCAATCTGGAAGTCGTCACCATCACAGAGGCAGAGTTTTACAAACAGACTTCTCTCAGCCAATTGTTCTCTTGCGCTACGGACCTTGAAGCTTTTAACCCAGAGAGCAAAGAGCTGTTGGACTTGGTTGAGTTTACAAGCGAGCTCAAGACTTTGCTCGGCTCCTCGCTTCACTGGTTGCATCCACACGAGGACCCTCCCTTCGACATCCTCTGGTGAACCATCAGGCCATTTAATGTACAGTGCTCTATACAGTTACTTCTTTATGTATATGTGTTCAGATGCAATTGTTTCTGTAAAGAAAGGACACTATTAAATATGAAAATATCTTTCCTTTATATAAGAGATCTGAATTCCAGTTGGATGGATTTTGGAAGAATTTTTTTTTAACTTCAATCAGTTTTTACAAAATTGTTATATAATGTTTCTTTAAAATGCACACAGGCTTTGGGATAAGTTTGTTATTACTCGAAACACATTTTTTTCCTTTTTTTTAAAGAACACACCCACACATTGACTTTGTTTCATACAAAGCACTGATTACACAGAACAGACTTTTTCTAGGTGATGTGATCAAAGTCGTGTGGCTCGTTTGGGAGGTAAAATTCGGTAAGGCACTTGGTGGTATGAGTTTTGTTTTTTTGTTTACAGAATTACCTGCTTTGGCCAGGTAAGCCACTATTGAATATAATTCAATAGTTTGTAATATAAATTAAACCATATCCATACGCATCAACTAATTGTAAGAACTTTTATATCCTAATTTAAAAGCTGTGAAATTTAGTTTTCACACATCAAACCGGATTGTTTATATATGTTTAAACATTTTATGCTCTTTATTTAAAGAAGACTTTGAACTATTTTTTCTGTACCTTGTAAAATATTGAAAAACTAACATATGTTGAAGTTGCTTGAAACTGTACATAAACTAAATTTTCTGAATTGTGTGTTTATGTTTGAGATCTGTGTTTTAACTTTGTAAGTAAATCTCCTGCCTTTGTATTTATATTTTACAAAAATTTTCTTAAAGGCAATAAAACTGTTGAGAAATGAAGAGGCTAAACTGACTCCCATTAATTCCGTGCCTGGGTGCGAAACAAGCTCCGATTCATTAATGTTCATGCAAGGAGGCTCTGCGAGCAGTTCCCAAAGCGGAGCAGGGCTGGCACGGGTGCTGGTGAGCAGCTGATGAAATCTGATGTAGAATCTGCATCGGCTTTCTAAATTCAAGGTTGCAAGAAAACATTGGGTGGGCGCCCTTTGTGGGACAGAGGTTTGAAAGCAGTATTCACAACACTTTCTGCATCGCCTTCTAGTTAAAGAATTGTGAATAGGTTCAGTTATTTTCCCTCCTTTGTCATCATTTGAAGTTGAATTGACTGAATTCTCCTTTCAGTGGTGTCTGCAGAGGGGTGGAAAATAGTACTAGGGTAAATGCTTCAGTTTAAATGTGGAGCATGAAAGCTATGAGCACACTTTGGGGGAATCTGAATGGACAGAATGTCAGATTTACATGGCTCAGGAACTTCCGTCCATCTAAGAGGCTGAGCTCCCTGGGCTTGGGCAGATCCTCTCTTAAGGGTCTGGATCTGCCCTTCCCCTTGTAGAAAGAAGTTCTTGATGCGAACCCAAACTCTGGAGTTCTGCTTTGGGGCTGTTTTTATCAGTAGTATGCTCTGTGATAGCCAAACGCTTCAGCTGAAATGTTTAAATCATGCTTTCTCCTGATGAGGGCCAGGACACCCACCGGAAGGGTCTTGAGCAGAGCATGGACCTGGTCCATTTCTCAAAAGCATCTGGAAAAAAGTTTCTGGAACAGTGAGGCTCAGAGTTGTGATCTGATGGACTGTGTACTGCAAGTTAAATCTTTGCTCTTGGAGGAGTTCAAGAAAGGGTGTCAATCAATCACCCTCATCCTGAAGGAAAGGGAGAGTGACACCTCATTCCTGAAGGTGCCCCACAGGGAATGGTGCAGAACTGATGCCTCTTGTGGTGTGTTGCCGTGGAACTGAGTCTTCTGCTGAATGTTTGTACTGCGTGGCTAGCAGTGGGACTGCTTCTGGGGGCAAGGTGGTCTTGTAGCTGAGCCAGGAGACGAGAGAGAGGTCTGACAGCTGTCTGCTGCTGGCAGCTGAAGGCCCATTTCCGCACAGGGCAGTGCAATCACTGACATCTTTCTCCAGGCCTCACATAAAGAGGATGATGGTTTCTCCTGTACTGCTTTACACGCGCACCCTGGGTTTCCTTCTAAGCCATCCTCCAGTTTTGCAAGGAACTGTAACCCAGACCTTCCTACTCTCCAGTGCGGGCTGCTTTTACCCCCGATCTTCCCAGGAAGCAGAGGTGGGCCAAAAAAACTTGAGGCAAGGGAGAACATCAAAAGCAATTGTTACAGACACCTTTATCTGATGAGCGACGTAATGCCTGGATGGTTTGAGCCGAGCATAAATCAGCTTCACACCAGTTCCACGGGTGCGTGGCAGACACCTCACTTCTCACCATGCCTACAGGCAAAGAAGATTGACATGGCTTCCTGTTCAGGCCAGCTCCTCCTCCAGTGATCTTGAGCACGTGCTCCCCAAACCTCTCTGCTTAGTCAGCTTTCCACTATCTCCGCTGAGTACAGTTGGGCCTTCTCCATGCTGGCGCTTGCATCGATGCTCAAACACAGCAACAGCCTCATGCTGTCACAACGCAAGAGTGTGCCTGCCCTGCGGCTCATCTGCGCTCTAAAAATAGGGCCATGGCAGGGAGCACCTGATTGCAGTGCTGTCCCTTGACATAACACAACCATTTTGTCTCCTAGGATGTACTTTTTTAAAGAGACTTAGCTGTGTGAGCATGCTAGAGAGTACATGGAGGGTTCAGCAAAGGAGGGTGGCATCCTGTGCTGGAGCACGAGGCTGGCTTGGCTGACCCTATCCTAGGTGGTTTGACAAACTGCCATGGGAGAGGCTGGCTGCATGGGTAGTAGGCAAGCCCAGGGGATAGCTACTCTGGGGAGAGGAGAGATGGCAGCGACTTGGTGACAGTGAGTGCAGGCAGGGAAGTAGAAGCACTGGCTGGGTCCCACGTGGTGCGGAGCTGGGGACCGAGCTAGCTCCATCCAGCAGGGCAGGAACTGGGCTGGTGTTCAGCATTTCAGCTTCTGGACTCATGCTGCTCTCCTGTAAAGCGCTTTCCTGTGCATCCTCCTTGGGCCAAAGATACTTCACACCACTGGCATTGCTCCAGCTTCATAAACCATAAGGAAACAGAAACTCAGCCTTTGGGGATGGTAAAACCCTGCCAATCCCGTGTCCTGCTTTCTGCAAGGTGAAAGTGCAGTGTTGATGCTGTTGGGACCTAAGCCAAGGTGTCTCCTTGAATTTCCCTTGCTTATCACTTAGATTTGCCTGGCTGGGAGGTTGTGTGCTCCATGGAGGTGTTGAAGAACTGCTGATGCAGTAGGGAAAAACCCTATCTCCAGCTGGAGCAGGCAGGTGAGCCTCACTGGAGGGAGTTTCCTTTGTCAAACTTTGACTTGGTGCTGGCTGGGAAATCCCAGGAAATACCCAGCTCCAAGCCTGGCAGGGGGAGAGGCCACAGCACAGGCAGTGCTTGTAGGTTTCCCCCGAGATAAGTGATGGTGCTGAGGACCGCAAAATACTGAACCCCTCCTTCGCTGCCTTGTTGTACCCAAGAAATTCTGAGTTCTGCACAGAGGGGTCAGTCCTGGGAGTTTCCCATTTGGGTTGTTTCTCCCTTCAGACACTCTTCTTATTTATTCTGTTTTGCTGTTGTGTCCCCCTTTTGCTCTGGCGGCCTTGCTGAAGACTTGGGCCAAAGACATTGCTACAGTGAGTGGCAAGAGCCATTCGATCTTTGTTTGTGCTCTTTGGGGGGCAATCTCCTAAAGGGGGAGCCCAGATGCCTGCTGGAAGCCTGACCCATCTTCTAGCTTGCAGGATCACAGGAGCAGAATGGAAATAGTCTTAAAAACTGCTCCCAGGGGCAAGCTCACTCCGTGAATCAAAGAGTTTGAAGCTGACTCCTCCCTTCATTTCTGTGCTAAGTAACAAAACTATAGATGAGACCCATCATTTGTGCATTAATATGAACAAGGTGTCAGGGACTGGTAAAAGCAGGCAGCTGCCATTCCCAGGCTCTGCAGGGCTGCTGGTAAACATTCAGCGTCGTTTCTTCAATTCATCCAGGAAAAAGGCACATGTTGCTACTTTAAATTTGTACAGATGCAAGCTAATGGAAAAAATAATGTATCCGTTTAAAATGGTTTGCAGAACATCATATTTTCATTTCAGTATGGGTCCAGTGTTGGTATGAGAGGGCTTGGCATGACTACACAAGACGAAAGAGTTGAATGCCACAATCATGAAGACAGGTATTAGGTCTTTTCTCAATGTGCTTATTCACCATTGCATTTCTGCTAGGAGGAGGGACGGGAGAAGAAAATGACTGGAATCCAACAAATTTCACTCTGTGAGCTTGTAGTGTTGTCAGGGGAAAAGCATCCTCAACCAGATCTGAAGAAGATGAAATTCTCTTTAAGAACTGCGTCTAGATGTCCCCACCATCTTCCCACCTGCGTCAGTATTGCTACTTCTGCATTTCAACTGCTGGTGTGCTTTGCATGGGTTTACCATGATTGCAACGTGAAGAGATTGTGTTTTCCTGCAAGTTCAGTGTGATGGATTGTTAGGAGCAATGCTGCCTTCTACCCTTGGGGGGTGAAGGCAGCGCATTGCTTGCCTCTGGTTTGCCAGCCCCAGAGCAAACCTTGTCCATACCATATGCACGTATTGCTCCAGACGACCGATGTGACTGTAGACGGTTGCTCTCTTGAGCCAGGTATGAACCACAAATCTGCCAGTAAATAGATTTTCCTTTTGTTGTCACATTAATTTGCAACTCATTAATAGTGACAGCAGTGAGGTACTGCACTGATGCAGATTTGCATATTCATGACTAACTTATTATTAAACAAATAAGATTTCCCTAGCTTAGGAAGCACCCAGAGTAATGCCATATTGTGCATTATATCAGCCTGGATGTTTTATTTTCTCTTTAATATGTTAATAGATGCAAAGGGTGCTCTTGTTTTTAAGTAAATGTGCATCTATAAAAACCAAGTAATTTAAAATATCAGAACCGTTTAAATAGTAATCCATTAACAAAGCTGCCAATAATTGACCAGGAGTACCTATTTAATGTACAAATCAATTAATCAATTCTAACTGCTGGCTTTTGTCGCCTGATGACAGTAACGCAGGCGGTACCAGCAAGGCGCAGCCAAGTCACTGTACCAGTGTGGTGAGCGAGGAGCAGACAGCTGATCCCATGTCCTATGGTTTGTTACAGTCAAATTGTTTGGTTTTCTTAGCTGCTTTTGTTTCTTCACCCCAGAAGAGTGGTGGGAGAGAACATGAAGACCGCATGGTGTGGTACCCGCTGCCATCCTCCCATCTTACTTGCATCTCTCTGGTATGGCTGAGGGAAATGTGGCCATCTCGCAGCTCTGCAGGGCCCCGGTTCTCCCCCTTATCTCTGCTGCAGGCAGGCACTCCCTGTGGGTACTGCCTTGGCACCAGCTACAGCTCAGCCCTGGAGAGGAGGAGGAGGAGGAGGGCAGTGCTCTAGCAGTGTGCTCTCCCTGGAGCAGTGGGTAAGATGCATACCCATGCCAAAAAGCCTTGGAGTTCAACAGCCCCTCCAAATCTGCAGGCAGGAGGGACGGGAGATGTCATGCAGGCAAGTATTTTAGTTCACTTGCTGGCAACAGTGGAGGTCCTTTGCCCATAAGGTAGCACAGCTTTTTTCTATGAGGTTATTCAAGAGCAGCCAGTATGGCTATCAAAACCCTCCTCAGCTCCCTGCTGAATTTTTCATTCCTTTCTGGCTCTTTTAAAACTGTGTAGGGTACTGGGCATGATTACACGTGTGGGAACCAGGGGGTTGTTGCAAAGTTCCCCTCAGTCCTCAGGTTATTTTATTTCCTGGCTGGACTTTCCAGAGGCCTTTGATGCTGTGGCCTAACCATGAGGCCAAATGCAGTTCTT